TAGGAATGTCACGAGGAAAAAAAGGTGGAAAAAAAAAAACCCAACCTGTTGGCTCCATTGCCTTGAACTGTATGAAGGAATTCACTCTGGAGAGAAGCCTGGACACGCTAACCACGGGAGGAGGCCTTCCATGTTCTAATACCTTTCAGGTTCATGAATGAAGTTACCCTGGAGAGAAACTAGTGAATGACAGCAGCGTGGGAAAGCCTTCACTACCTTTCCTGCTGGAGAGAAGCCTTATGAGCATTAAAGAATGTGGGGAGGAGGGCCTGGGAAGGTGGCTCAGTGGTAGAGTGCTTGCCTAGCATGCATGAAGCCCTGGGTTCGATTCCTCAGTACCACATCAACTGAAAAATGACGGGAGTGGTGCTGTGGCTCACATGCTAAAGCACTTGCCTAGAGGACAGGCAGGCCCAAGGACAGTGCCTGGGCCCTGAATTCAAGTCCCAGGACTGGCAAAAAAAAAAAAAAGACTATGGGGAAGCCTTCATTGATCTCCAGTCCTTTTAGAATTATGACTCACCCTTGAGAAGACATCATGAATGTAAACTGAAAAGGCCTTTGTGTATCATAAATGATGCTGTTGTTGTTGCCAGTCCTGGGGCTTGAACTCAGGGCCTGGGCACTGTCCCTGAGCTTCTTTTGCTCAAGGCTAGCACTCTACCACTTGAGCCAGGGCACCACTTCCAGCTCTTTCTGGTTGATATGGTGCTGAGGAATTGAACCCAGGGCTTCGTGCATTTACTCTACCACTAAGCCACATTCCCAGCCCTCACAAGTGATTTTTGATACATGAGAACTTCTGGCTGGACATTATGGTACACACCTAAAATCTCTGCTACTGAGGAGGCAAAGTTCAATAGGATTTGCATTCAAAGCCAGTTTAGGCAAAAAGCGAGACTCCCTCTCAACTAATAAGCCAGGTGTGGTAGTATATGCCTGTATCTGAGGATCTCCATCCAAGGCTGGCCTGGAGCAAAAAATTGAGAACTTATCAGCAAAGTAATTAACATAAAAAGGGGTTGAGAGTGTGGCTCAACTGGAAAAGCAACTGCTTAACAAGTGCCCTTAATTCAAACCACAGTACTACCAAAAAAATAACAAAAAATGGTTCTCCTACTAGAATGAGAAATAGCGAAAGTCCCTATTTCTGTTCCTTTAAATTAATGAACAGGGGCTGGGAATGTGGCTCGGTGGTAGAGTGCTTGTGTAGTATGCATGAAGCCCTGGGTTCGATTCCTCAGTAGCACATACACAGAAAAAGCTGGAAGTGGCTCTGTGGCTCAAGTGATAAGAGTTCAAGCCTCAGGACTGGCAAAAATAATTCATGAAAGGAAGCATGGTTCAAGTCATACAATTCTAGCCAATGAGCAAAAAGCAAGTGACAGATACCAAGTTAACCTTTTTTTTTTTTTTTTTTAAGAAAAAAGACCTTTGTTTCCATATCTTTGGAGTTCATTTCAGTATATTATTTATCTATGAAGAGGCGCTTGGGTAGTACGCCTTTGTGATTTTCTCCTGAGACTATTCTCTTTTGGTCTCACCGTATGATGATGTGTAGAATTTGTCGTGTCCCATTCCCCGTTAGCATATCTCAAAAGCAAAATACAGAAGGGTTGGGGGGTGCACCAACTAGTAGAGTATGTGAGCCCCTGACTTTGATCTCTAGTACTAAGGAAGAATAAAGGCATATATTATTATCGTGCCTCATTAATTCTGTGTTTATTTTTTTTGAAGGCACATTTAATATCAAGAGTGCAATACAAAAGGCCCAAGGACAATGAAGGAACACATTCCCCCATTAACACCAACAACAATGCTCTTTTAACATGTGCCTGTTGGGTGGGATGAGGGTTTAAGTTCACCACTGAAAAAAGTAACGCAGTGAATCTCATCACAGCCATACAATCTAGTTGTGAAATGAATGTTTATAATGCTTCAGTTTAAAGCTCAAGTTTGATACAAAAACATGGAACGCTTCATGAATTTGCGTGTCATCCTTGCGCAGGGGCCATGCTAATCTCTGTATCGTTCCAATTTTAGTATATGTGCTGCCGAAGCGAGCACTAATTCTGTGTTTTTTTGGTTTTTTTTGGGGGGTCCGGTTGTGGGGCCTGAACTCTGGGCCTGGGCGCTGTCCCTCAGCTGTTCAGCTCAAGGCTAGCGCTCTACCATTTGAGTCACGGCGCCACTTCCGGCTTTTTTCTTTTTGCTTATGTGGTGCTGAGGAATCGAACCCAGGGCCTTGAGCATGCAAGGCAAGCGCTCTACCACTGAGCCACCTTCCCAGCCCAATTCTGTGTTTTTTTTTTTTGTTTTGTTTTGATTTTTTTAGTGTGAAAATACTGTACAGAGGGGTTACAATTACATGGGTAAGATAATGAGTACATTTCTTATCAAGCATTGTAGCCTCCTCCTTTGTTTACCCTTCCCATCCCTTCCCAGCCTCCCCCCACCCACCAAAGTTGTAAAGTTCGTTTTCGACATGACAACTAATTCTGTGTTTATGAAGTAACCCAAAAGTCTCCTACATTGTATTTTTCCATTAAATCAGTTTACACATTTTTAATTTATGTCTAGATGTTTGTTACATCTGTGGTTGACTTAAGTGTATTTCTTTTGTTTAAATTATTAAATGATGTTAACACTGAACAAATGGGGTCTGAAAATGACATGTTCCTAATTGTTTGAATATTCTAATCAGCCTCATGTGGAAAATACTGGATTGCCTTTTTTGTTTTTTGGTCCGGTTGTGGGGCCTGAACTCTGGCCTGGGCGCTGTCCTCAGCTCTTCAGCTCCAGGCTAGCGCTCTACCACTTGAGCCACAGCGCCACTTCAGCTTTTTTTTTCTTTTTGCTTATGTGGTGCTGAGGAATTGAACCCAGGGCCTCAGGCATGCAAGGCAAGCGCTCTGCCACTGAGCCACCTTCCCAGCCCTGCCTTTATCTTTTATATATAGTCCATGTGTTTTGCTTAAAAGAATCTTCTATTTCTTTTTTTTTTTTGGGGGGGGGGGCTTGGTCGTGGGGCTTGAACTCTGGGTCTGGGCGCTGTCCCTGAGCTCTTCAGCTCAAGGTGAGTGCTCTACTACTTGAGCCACAGGGCCACTTTGGTTTTCTGGTGGTTCATGGAGGTAAGAGTCTCAGGGACTTTCCTGCCTGGGCTGGCTTTGAACAACGATCCCCAGATCTCAGCCTCTTGAGTAGCTAGGATTACAGGTGTGAGCCACCAGCACCCAGCTCCATTCTGTTCTTTAAAAATAATAGAATGGGGCTGGGAATGTGACTCAGTGGTAGAGTGCTTGCCTAGCATGCATGAAGCCCTGGGTTTGACTCCTCGGTATCACATACACTGAAAAGGCCTGAAGTGGTGCTGTGGCTCAAGTGGTAGAACACTAGCCTTGAGCAAAAGGAATTAAGGGACAGTTCCTAGGCCCTGAATTCAAGCCCCAGGACTGGCAAAAATAAAATAAAAATAGAATGGTTCATATCTCTAATTCCATCTACTCAAGAGGCTAAGACACAATTCAAAGCCCGCCTTGGCAGAAAAGTCCATGGGATTCCCATCTCCAGTTAGCCAGCAAACAGTATACTGGAGGCATGACTCAAGTGGCAGAGCACCAGGCATTAGCAAAAAAAAAAGAAAAAAAAAAAAAGCCCAGAGCGCACAAGGCCCTAAGGTACCCCAGTACCACCTAAAACAAGGAATACATGAAGAGATCTCTGTCTAACCCATTTTTCCACAGTAAGGATGGGAGAGATTGGCTTCTCTGCTGAGAAGGTTTCTTCAGCAGAAAACAGATCAAACCCTCGCTCAAGAGCAGGCCTGCATTGGGAGCTCTGTCGTGTCTTACTCCTGCAGTGCAGCATCCAGAACAAGATGCACAAATCTGGCCATCACAGCAAATTAAACGCCAGCAGCTTCAGACGTACATCACTCCCTGTTCTGACATCCCAGTCTCGGGGGGGGGGACCCCACAATACTTGGGGTGGCCTCAGCGCCTCCCATTCGATTGCAAGGTTCACCATCTCCACTGGCATTTTCTTTCCCTGCAAGTCTTTCTGTGGCTTTGGTGTTGGGGTGATACTGGCCTGATAAAATAGTTTGGGCTGGGCACCAGTGGCTCACGCCTGTCATCCGACCTTCTCAGGAGGCTGATATGGAAAGACTGCAGTTCAAAGCCAGCCCTTAGAGGAAAGTCCGTATTTTTTTTTTTTTTTGTCAGTCGTGGGGCCTGGGTGCTGTCCCTCAGCTCTTCAGCTCAAAGTTAGTGCTCTACCACTTGAACCACAGTGCCACTTCTGGCTTTTTCTGCTTATGTGGTGTTGAGGAATCCAACCCAGGACCTCGTGCACGCAAAGCAAGCGCTCTACCACTAAGCCACCTTCCCAGCCCCCATGATACTTTTATCTCCAATAAGCTACCCAAAAAAAGCCATAAGTAGAGCTATGGCTCAAGTGGAAGTACCCTAGCTTTGAGCAAAAGATCAAGGACAGTGCTCAGGCTCTGAGTTCAAGTGCACACAGACACACACACAAAGGCACCTGTGGCTCATGACTGTAATCCTAGCTACTCAGGAAGCTGAGATCTAAGGATCATGGTTCAAAATCAGCCCAAGCAGGCAAGTCTATAAAACTCTTATCTCCAATGTAAACCACCAATTACCTGGAAATGGAGCTGTGGCTTAAGTGGCAAAGCGCTTAGCTTTGAGGTTCAACAGAGGCTTAGAAGTGCCCAGGGACTGTCACCAAAAAAAAGAAAGAAAAAGAAAAAAGGACTAGGAAAACTTCAAGCTTCACTTTTTATTCAGTATTGCCTACATTCCTTACATTCGCACCATTTCTTTCCAGTGCCAATTCTGTTTTTGAAGTGAACTTGGTACAGAGATTTTTCTTCAGATGCCTTACATTTTAACAAATCCATCTCCAGTGTGTAGGCTGCGATTGTGTTGCTAGAAGAGCAGTGAAGGCTTTCCCGATCTTGAAGCACAGGCCTTCTACACAACGTGAGCGCTTTCGTGCCTTAGAACTGCGCTGGGAGAGCCAAAGGCCTTCCCACAAAACTTACATTTATAAGGCCCCTCGCCCGTGTGCCGTATCATGTGTCCTTGAAGGCCTGAGTGAGAAATGAAGGCTTTCCCACACTCCTTACATTCATAGGGCTTCTCTCCGGTGTGAGTCCTTTCGTGTTTCCGAACGGCAGTGGAACAGATGAAGGCTTTGCCACAGTACGTGCAGGAGAAAGGCTTCTCTCCGGTGTGTGTTCTCCCGTGTTTCGTAAGGGCGCTGGGCGAGTTGAAGACTTTCCCGCACTCCTTACATTTATAAGGCCCGCCTCCAGTGTGCTTGATCATGTGACCCCGAAGGCCCGAGAGTGAGCGGAAGGCCTTCCCGCACTCCTTGCAATCATACGGCTTCTCCCCCGTGTGGGTCCTCTGATGTCTTCGAACCGAGCCTAAGCAATTGAAGGCTTTCCCACACTGCTCACACTGGTACGGCTTCTCGCCCGTGTGAATCCTTTCGTGGATTCTAAGGGAGCTGGGATACTGCAAGCCCTTTCCGCACACGTTACACTTATGTGGCCCGCTGCCAGCATGCGTGATCACGTATTCCTCAAGGCTAGTGAGGGAGAGGAAGGCTTCTTCACGCTTGGCGCGTTCATAGGCCTTGTCTCCAATGGGACTCCTGTCATCGAGCTGGAAAGGGTAGTAATAATTTAAGGTGTTCTCACACTGTGCGCATCGATTGGGCTCTTCTGTATATTCCTGATCTTCCTGGGGTTCCTGCCGCGGGGGAGAGCTCACGGGACCTCTCAGGGCTGATGGAGGCTTGAAGACGGTTCCACACATGCTACATCCACGGGCTGCTGCCCCCGGAAGACTGCTCTTCTTCAAATCATCTGCGATCCGGCTGGCGCGCTCCGTACACTCAGCACCTTCTTCGCTTTCGCAGAGTGTCTCGGCAATATGAATGCTGTGGAAAAAAAGAAAATCGAATCAGAATGTGTGGAGAATGGCTTGTTGCTGGGCGCTGGTGGCTCACACCTGTCATCCTAGCTGCTCAGGAGGCTGAGATCCAAGGATCATGGTTCAAACTAGCCTGGGCAGGAAAGTCAGACTCTGCAATTAACCACTAGAAAACCAGAAGGAGCCCTGTGACTCAAAGTCAAAGAGTGCTAGCCTTGAGCAAAAAGCTCAGCAACAGCACCTAGGCCCCAGGTTCAAGCCCCATGAACAACTACAACAAGAATGGCTTGTTACTAGGCTCTGGTGGCTCATGCCTGTAATTCTAGCTCCTCAGGAGGCTGAGATCTGAGGATCATAGTTTGAGACTTTTATTTCAACCACCAAAAATACCCAAAATAGAGTTGTAGTTCAAGTGGTAGAGTGCTAGCCTTAAGCAAAAAAACCCTCAGGAACAGTGCCCAATCCCTGAGTTCAAGCCCCAGGACTGGCATACATGCATACATGCACACACACACACACACACACACACACAAAGGGCTGGGAAGGTGGCTCAGTGGTAGAGCGCTTGCCTTGCATGTATGAGGCCCTAGGTTCAATTCCTCAACACCACATAAGCAAAAAGAAAAAAGCCAGGGCTGGGAAGGTGGTTCAGTGGTAGAGCGCTTGCCTTGCATGCATGAGGCCCTGGGTTCGATTCCTCAGCACCACATAAGCAAAAAAGAAAAAAGCCGGAAGTGGAGCTGTGGCTCAAGTGGTAGAGTGCTAGCCTTGGGACAGTGTCCAGGCCCAGAGTTCAAGCCCCACGACCAGACCCAAATAAATAAATAAATAAATAAATAAATAAATAGAAAAGAAAAGAAAAGAAAAAAGCCAGAAGTGGCGCTGCGGCTCAAGTGGTAGAGCGCTAGCCTGGGGCTGAAGAGCTGAGGGACAGCATCCAGGCCCAGAGTTCAGGCCCCATGACTGGACTCAAAAAAAAAAAAAAAAAAAAAAATCAAGGGTCAGTAGCTCACACCTGTAAGCCTAGCTACTCAGGAGACTGAGATCTGAGGGATCACAGTTCAAACATAATCAGTAAAGTTGTGGCCCAAATGGTAGAATGCCAGCCTTGACAATACCCAGGCCCTGAGTTCATACCCAAATACACCAAAAACAAAAAACACTGGAAATATCATAAAACCAAATTTCACATTATACTACAGAGCCATGTAAAAAAACATCATGACTGTGACACCAAAAACCAATGGAATAGATAAGAAGATCCAGGAAGAGAACCACACGCCCACAGTCAACAAACTGTTGACAAAGAGGAGTCAAAACTACAAACTGGAGAAAAGATGGCTTCTTCAACAAATGGTGCTAGGAAATCAGATATCCATTTGGAAGAGACAAAGAGACCCCCCATCATCCACCCTGGAGACAAAAGTCATCTCCTAATGGGTCACAGAACTAAATGGGACATTGGAAAAATATAGAGATTACTCTAGAAGTCATAGATATAGGCAATTACTTTGTTTAATCTTTGTGTGTGTGTGTGTGTGTGTGTGTGTGTGTGTGTGTGTGTGTGTGTGTACTAGAATTTGAACTGAGAGCCTCATGCTCTTAACTTTTGCACTGCAGGTTGGCACTCTACCACTGTAGCAACACTTCTACATTTTGGTGGTTAATTGGTGATCAGCGTGTCATGGATTTTCCTGCCCAGGCTGGCGTGGAATCCTGATCTGTATATCTCAACCTCCTGAGTAGCTAGGCTTACAGGCATGAGCCCCTGGTGCCTGGCAACAATTACTTTTTTTTTTTTGTCGGTCATGGGACCTGAACTCTGGGCCTGGGCGCTGTCCCTCAGCTCTTTAGCTCAAGGCTAGCGCTCTACCGCTTGAGATACAGCGCCACTTCCTGCTTTTTCTGCTTAAGTGGTGCTGAGGAATCGAACCCAGGGCCTCCTGCAAACAAGGCAAGCACTCTACCACTGAGCCACCTTCCCAGCCCAACAATTACTTCCTAAACAGGACTCCAATTGCCAGATAAAAGGACCTGACTAATGGGACTGCAATAAATTAAAAAGTTTCTTCACAACAAAAGAAATAATTTTGAAATCTATAGGCAATCCGTAGAATGAGAAAATCTTCACCAGCTATTCAAAAGCTAAAGGATTAATATCAAGAATATACAAAGAGCTCAAAATATAAACAGTGAAAGAACAAATCTAATTTTAATAAATAGGAAAACAAGCCAGGTCTGTAATCCCAGGTACTCAGTGATTTAGGAGGTTGAAATCTGAGGATCTCAACTCAAAGCCAGCCTGAGCAGGAAAGTCCTGAGACCCTTATCTCTAATTAACCACCAAAAAACAGAAGTGGTGCTGTGCCTCAAACTGGTAGAGTGCTATCCTTGAACACAGAAACTGGAGACAGTGCCCTGAATTCATGCCCCAGGACCAGCACAAAAGAGAGAGAAAAAAAATTCCATGACAAGCTGGGCTTAGTAGTTCACACCTGTAATTCCAGCACTTGGAAAGCTGAGGTACGAGGTCTGTGAGTTTGAGGTCTGCCTGCCCTACCAATTGCTCAAGGCAAACTTGGCCTTATTGTGTAAGTGAGGGCCAACTTTAAAACAGAAAAAAAAAAAAATCATGACACATTTTTTTGGTTGGTCATTCCTTTCTCTTTTTCTTATGTATTACCTTAAATTTCTCCCCTGATTTCTGTACCAATCTTCAATCTTCTGGTCCCAATTTTCCCCTACAATAAAAAAAAAAAAATCACAACAAGTAGTTAGCACTTAAAACATAGTAGGATCCAAGTTCATGTTGGGTGACAACTATGCTTACTTTGTTTATGAAAGGATTCCAGCCAGGCACTAGTGGCCCTCATCTGTAATCCTAGCCCTGCAGGAGACTGAGATCTGAGGATCTCAGTTCAAAGCTAGCCAAGGCAGGACAGGAAGTAGCCCTGGGGCTCAAAGTGGTAGAGTGCTAGCCTTGAGTGAAAAAGGTCAGGGACAGCTCCAGTCCTGAGTTCAAGCCCCAGACTTGAGACAGACAGACAGACAGACAGACAGACAGACAGACAGACAGACACACACACACACACACACACACACACACACACACACACAAAAGATTTCCTCTCCCCATTTCAAATCACGGCACAGCATTAACAGGCAAAATCCACCATGTCTTCTGATTAAGCCCAGCATTCAAGCTCCACAACACACTCTCTCTCTCTCTCTCTCTCTCTCTCTCTCTCTCTCTCTCTCTCTCTCTCTCTCTCTCTCACACACACACACACACAGAGTTTGTCATCCTTACCTATAGAGACCAGGTTCATAAAGATTTCACCCACGACCTCTCCATAGAGATTTTTCTGGGCAGAATCAAGCAAAGCCCATTCCTCCAGTGTGAAGTTCACCACCACATCTTCAAAGAGCACCGAATCCTGAAACATGGCAGACAGGTTCCAGGAAAGTGATTTCCGTGGAACACAGAAGATTCACAATTCTATTCACACTGAGTTCACATACTGCGCTGCGCCCACTGCACACAGCCTAGGAGGAAAGAATCCAATGGTGAGGATTCTCACCTCCAGCCGCATTTACTTCCTCCTAGAGCAGCAGTACCAAGGACACATGCAACCAATGGCATTTTGGTTTGATGGATTAAGACAGGGCCTTGCTATGTAGCATAGGCTGGCCTCTAACTCTTGATCCTCTTATCTCAGCCTCCCCAGAACTGAGATTATAGATGTGAGTCACTATGCCCAGCTTGATCTATATGCTTTTGTTGCTACTGTATTTACCACAAATCTTTTTTTTTTTCTTCTGTCAGTCATGGGGCTTGAACTCTGGGCCTGGGCCCTGTCCCTCAGCTCTTCAGCTCAAGGCCAGCACTCTACCACTTGAGCTATAGCACCACCTCCAGTTTTCTAATGGTTTGTTGGAGATAGGAGTCTCACCGTTTTTCCTGCCTGGGCTGGCTATGAACCTCGATCCTCAGATCTCAGCCTCCTGAGTAGCTAGGATTACAGGCGTGAGCTGCTGGCGCCCGGCTTTACCACAAATCTTTAATGTTAATTTTGTTCATTGTTGTTGTTTGTTCATTGTTGTTGTTTGCTGTGTTTTTCTCTGTGCCAGTCTTGGGGCTTGAACTCAGGGCCTTGGCGCCATCCCTGAGCTCAAGGCTAGCAGTTCTACCACTTGAGCCACAGCTCCAGTTCTAGCTTTTTGTTGTTTCATTGAAGATTCTCCAAGACTTTCCTGCTTGGGCTGGCTTCAAACCAGGATCCTCAGACCTCAGCCACCTGAGACCTGAGTAGCTAGGATTACAGGCGTGAGCCTGCCTCCCCCCAGCAAGTCTTTTCCTCTTCACTGACAGAATACATACACCTTGGAGAAATGAGGACGGAACACAAGCCCTAAAATTCTCACTTATGAAGCCCGATGACTCCAGGGTGTTTATATTGTTATTACTAAATGATACCACAAAGCATCTTATTCATGCCTTTGTGAATCCATTCCATGGTGAAAGTTTGAAGAATTTGGAAAAGAACATTTATCTAAGTTGACATGCCCTGCAATAGAGGCAACAAAAATGGGGAGCAGGGGCTGGGAGGCGGCTCAGTGGTGCAGCGCTTGCCTTGCATGCTCGAGGCCCTGCGTTCTTCAATTGCTCAGCACCATATAAGCAGAAAAAGCCAGAAGTGGCGCTGTGGCTCAAGTGGTAGAGCGCTCGCATTGAGCTGAAGAGCTGAGGGACAGCGCCCAGGCCCAGAGTTCAGGCCCCATGACTGACCAAAAAAAAAAAAAAAAAAATCTGTGTAGAAATAGTTAGCTAGCCCTTGTGTGGCAACACCTATCTGGAATACCCAGACTTGGGAGGCAAATGCAGCATTATTTGAAATTTTTTTTTTTTTTTGGGGGGGGTCTGGTCATGGGGCCTGAACTCTGGGCCTAGGCGCTGTCCCTCAGCTCTTCAGCTCAAGGTCAATATTCTACCACTTGAGCCACAGCGTCACTTCTGGCTTTTTTCTTTATGTGGTGCTGAGGAATCGAACCCTGGGCCTCAGGCATGCAAGGCAAGCGCTCTACCACAGAGCCACCTTCCCAGCCCCCATTATTTGAAATTTGAGGGCAGCCTGAGCTATAGAGCAAGACCCTGGCTCAAAACTTCAGAGACTGAACATCATATGTCATTTGGGAATTGTAAATGAAAGGACAGAAAGAACAGGCCATTCTTATAAAAACTAAAATTCTTGCTTTCTTACTACTCTTAGCAGACTCTTGAATGTGTCTGGTCACAAAATAAAGGATTTAAAAGCTAACAGTACTAATATGGATAAAAATTACATGCATGAGGGCTGGGAAGGTGGCTCAGTGGTAGAGCTCTTGCCTTGCATGCATGAGGCCCTGGGTTCGATTCCTCAGCACCACATAAGCAAAAAAAGAAAAAAGCCGGAAGTGGTGCTGTGGCTCAAGTGGTAGAGCGCTATCCTTGAGCTGAAGAGCTGAGGGACAGTGCCCAGGCCCAGAGTAGCTTACACATATAATCCTAGCTACCCAGCAGGCAAAAGACCTGAGGATAGTGATTCGAAGCCATGCTGGGCAGGAACGCAGTGGAGCGAGCCTCATCTCCAATTAATCAGCAAAAAGTCAGAAGTGGAGCTGTGGGTCAGGTGGTAAGACTGCCAGCCTTGAGCAAAAAATAAAGTAAACAAAGGTCAGTGTCCAGGCTCCGAGATCAAGCTGCAGGACTGGCACATTGATGATGAGGAGGATGAAGATGAGGATGATGATGAGGATGAGGATGCGAGCAGGGGTGGAGAACGCGGCTCAAGCAGTGGCGCAACGGCCCCAGAGGCCCTGAGTTCAAATCCCAGTACCCCCCCCCCAAAAAAAAAGTGATAGAAACATTACTACGTTCTTTGTTGCAAACCACTGGGTCGCGGAGGGGCGTCCTGGCGCCGCGGGAGGGAGGCCGCGGGCCCCGGTGCGGAGCGGACCCCGGAAACTCGGAGGCCCACGCACGGGGCGGGCCGCGCGCCGCTCACGCAACGTGAGACCTCGGGGCTCACGGGGGGGGGGGGTCAGGGGCGCACAGCGTGAGCCCCGCACGAGACGCGCCGCCCCGGGACCCCCGGGCCCGCACAGCCCCGCCCCCCGCTGGGACCCAGGGGCCCGGCCCCCGCCACGCCCGCACTCACCATCTCCGTCTCCCCGGGCCCCGCGTCCGCCCCGCGTCGCCCCCGAAGCCACCGCGGGTCCGGGCGACGGCGGCGGCCGACTGAGAGACCTCCCCGGGGGCGACGGCCCGGGCCCGGCGCGGCTGCGTCACCGCGCCACGCCCCTCCGGCGGCGCGCCCGATTGGACAGTTCCGGTGGCCCCGCCCCCTCGTCACCCTGAGTGACAGACGTCGAATGGAACCCACAGCTTCCTCTCGAACTTGGAAGTGAGAAGAGGCCGGGCCGTGTTTTCTTTTCCCCCTTTTCTTCCTTTTTTAATTTTTATTTTTAGTGCAAAGGTGCTGTACACAGGGCTGTTTTTTAATATCAGTTTATGTTATTATTAAGGTGGGTTACCATTGCATAAGTCAGGTAATAAGTGCAGTTCTTTTTGGACAATGTTACCTCTTCCCGTCCCTGCCCACAAGTTACATAGTTCATCTTCCACCTAGAGTCTACTGAGGTTTCTTAAAATTGTTATTGTAAAGGTGATGTACAAAGTGTTACAGTTACACGGGCTGGGAAGGTGGCTCCGTGGTAGAGCGCTTTTGCCTCGCATGCACAAAACCCTGGGTTCGATTCCTCAGTACCACATACACAGAACAAGCTGCAATGGCGCTGTGGCTCAGGTGGTAGAGCGCTAGCCTTGAGCAAAAGAAGCTCAGGGACAGTGCCTAGGCCCTGAGTTCAGACCCCAGGACTGGCAAAATAATAAAATTATTATTATTAAATGAATAAATTAAAATTAAACAGGCTAAGCCAGACAGGAACAAGAAAGTTAGTTCTGTTCCAAGGGTCAAGGACTTGTCATAAGATTTCCAGGCCACTGGTGGAATTGTGATCTGAGATTATACTCGTAACAGTGACATCTGTGACTAGTTTGGTGGTGTTGTTTTTATATTTTTGTTTTTAGTTTGTTTTGTCCTAGGGCTTGAACTCATGGCCCGGGCGCTGTCCCTCAGCAGTTCAGCTCAAGGTGAGTGCTCTACCACTCTAGCCACAGCACCACTTCCAGTTTCCTGGTGGTTTATTGGAGATAAGAGTCTCACAGACTGTCCTTGCCCGGGCTGGCTTTGAACTGTGACCCTCAGATCTCAGCCTCCTGAGTAGCTAGGATGATAGGTGTGAGCCACTGGCACCTGGCCTCTATTTGCCTTTTAATCAGCCTACCTGGCCCTAGATTGAACCCATCTGAGGCTCACCCACATCTGCCTCTTTAGTCATTTGAATCTGTCTCCCTGAATAGAGGCTGATTGATACCTTAGGTGAAGACTACCTAACTTTTCTTATCTGCTTCCTAACCTGCCACACCACCTGCTCGCTGAGGGCAGACGCTGAGTATTCCAAACTGATCATCGCTTTAAATATGAGAGGATTTGGCTCAGCTCAGAAATCTACACCCAGATAATATGTGGCTGTTAGTGCAGTCCTCACCACCAGAGGGCGCAAACTATGTCTCCCTTTCCCAAAAACTATTCAAGGCAGGTTTTTGAGGACTTTACATTTGACAATAAATGTGATACACTGTCATTTACAGGACTTAAATGTGATACAATGTCATTTACAGGACTTAAGGCTTTTTTGCAGGTCATGAACTCTGGGCCTTGGCGCTGTCCCTCAGCTCTTCAGCTCAAGGCTAGTGCTGTACCACTTGAGCCACAGTACCACTTCTGGCTTTTTTCTGTGTATGTGGTGTTGAGGAATCGAACCCAGAGCCCCAAGCATACAAGGCAAGCACTCTACCACTGGGCCACCTTCCCAGCTCCAGGACTTAAGCTTTTAATACATATTTAACAGCTGTTGTATGTATGCATCTATACATAGATATATACATCTATGATCTAGATAGGTTGGTTGTGTGTGTGTGTGTGTGTTAGGATGATGGAATCCAGCCCCTCATGAATTCTAAGCAAGCACTATACCACTCATATACATCTTCAGCCCAACTTGTTTTGGTAGAGTTAAGATTTTAACTTGGAGCCGGGCGCCGCTACTCAGGAGGCTGAGCTCTGAGGATCGTGATTCAAAGCCAGCCCAGGCAGGAAAATCCATGACTTTTACTCCAATAGACTACCTAGAAGAAGCCAGAAGTGATGCTGTGGCTCAGGGACAGCGTCCAGGCCCTAAGTTCAAGCCCCAGGACCAGCAAAAAAAATACCAAAAAACGTTTTGGGGAGGAGATTTTTCAGGAAGGGTTGGGGGGGGAGTCAGTGGGCCATGAGAGCAACCTTGAGTTATGAGGACAGATTCCCATCACACATGAAGCAGGAGTAAAGGAGGAAGGAGGAAAAGATGCCGGGCCCTGAGTTCAAGGCTCAGTACTGGCAACAACAAAAAGAATTTCCATATTGGTGCAGTTTGTGAGATGGCCACGTGGGGGCAGCAACGGCTAGGTTAAAAACACCTGCAATCGGCTCAGGCTGCTGGTTCTTAGCTGTTCCAGGGCTGTCTTTGGTCTAAAAAAGAAAAATGCTGTGGGGCACCTGTGGCTCCCTCCGGTCATCCGTGCTACTCAGGAGGCTGAGATCTGAGGATCACGATTCAAAGCCATCCGGGGCAGGGAAGTCCATGAGACTCTTATATCCAATAAACCA